CTTGCCACCTGCCGAAGTCAGATCTTTTAAGTGCTTATTAAATTACGCTGGCACCCGAGCTGAGTAGGATCTCACTGAACACAGTGGAAGACTACTGGTCGCATTTCCGCCAGGCGCTATTAGCATCATGCATGTCTTCATGTGGCAAATCAAATCTCCAACCTGGACACTAGGTCTCTACACAGTCTGGAACTTCTGGGGTTCGCCGATGTCTTTCAGCTGGAAGCGAATGCAGTGAGGTTTGCAAAGATCTCAGAGCGAGACTGCTAGCTAGCCTGAAGGGCGATCGCGAATCATGGTGGTCTCATCGTGTGTCTGAGATGGAGGCAGCCGCTATCATTGGTAACCATCGGAAATTATTACGTCTGATGCGGGAAATGGGCAGCAGGAGACTACATCATCATTATTATACACGTTAGCTACAAGTGGAAGACCTCTCAGCTATTTTGCTGCAGTACTAAACGAAAGAAAAAGCATGCTACAGTGGCTCGCCGGCCGAGTCACTAGTAACGGATGGACATCGTTCCGGAGGGCTAACAGCCGGCTATTGTGCCACAAAAAATGAGTTATATTAAGCCTAATAAATGTGCTCATGGTTGGAGGGGGAGGCGGAGGAACAAAGAAACTTACAACACAAACGCCATTGATGTAGGATCCTAGCCATGGCATCAAGTGTATCTAGCCAAAGGTGTTCATCGTCCTTCGGATCCCAACAAGGGAGTCAAGAGACTCCAACCGAGGCAAACTTCGAAGTAAAGGTCTTCTTTCTTCTTAATCAAGTTATCGTTTCGCCACTCCTCTTCTTCTTCCATCCGCACCCACGGTGCGTAAACAATGCGCGTCGCGGGAGTCAGTAGGCTGGCATGTGCAACATGTGGTCCGGCATTCGGAGCCTGGTGCGGGAAATAACGGTCTGAGCGGTTTGCTTCTTTATCCTACGCCATAAACGAGGTGTCGAACATGCTCATTGCTCACACGGCGTTCTCACCAGATATGAGCCAAATTGCAAGGGCAGTGGTGGTCGAACGTAACTAGCCTGTTTATGTCGGCTGATCTAGTGGGCCAGGTTTCACAACCGTACATCAGGGTCGAACGTCCGGTCTCAGTGTACACTCTACCCTACAAGGAGAGTGTGATGTCTCGCCGGCACTATATGTGGCAAAGGTTAGCAAAAACGCCTTGTGCTTTTTCTAATCCGCTTATTACCTCGTCTTCAATTTTGAACTGTACTGATACGACTGCCCAGGTAGTTGAAATCTTGTACGACTTCCATCTGATTTTCACGATGTGTCAGCGCAGGAGGCGGTCCTTGCCAATCTTGGAGGAAAGCTTAGCACTTCGAGGGTGCAAAGCATAGCCCGAAACGGTTGACAGCCAGGGCTAATCTGTCCAGTTCCTCTTGGCACGTTTGGGAGTTGTTACAGATGAAGGCAATATCATCTGTATACTCCAAGTCATGAAGTCATTCATCTGGGAGAAACTCCACACCTTCTAACTCGTATCCCTTGAAGGTGATCCCTCTGACTTCGTCGATAGCGAAGTTGAAGAGGAAACGTGACGGCAGACATCCCTGTCTTACATTGCTGGAGCTGTTTAGGGTTGGTGATAACCTGCCCTAAGCTCTCACTCTGCCGGAACTACGCGCGTAAAGCGCTCGCGTAATATTTACATATTTCTCGTGCACACCTTCCTTGAGTAGACAGTCCCAAAAGGCACATAGGTCCACCGAATCGTAGGCATTCTTGATGTCGAGGAACACGCCAATATATGAGACGGTGCTCCAACCACTGACGCAAGGGGAATATGTGGTTGCTGCAGCCTCGACCTCGACGAAACCCGGTTTGCTCCTCACTAATTTGGCTTTCATGAGTGCCAGTCAGTCTGTGAAGGATTACAGGAGCACACAATTTTGAGGCGATGGGGATCAGTCTGATTCCTCTATGATTGCCGCATTCCGAACGCGAGTTTCCTTTGAAGATCGGGACAATAACGGAGCGGCTCCAGTCGGTTGGGACAGTTTCCTGCTCCCACAGTTTCACTAGTTATTCCTATAAATCATCAATAGAACAATCGACCTTGTCAGATAGGTTCATGCAACCCAAATCTTCAGTAAGCTGGAAGCAATCTTTGAGACTGTAATTGTTGATCGTTTTCCTTAGCGCAGCAATTGCCATCCCTTCCAAACCGGACAGTTTATACTGGTACGCCTTTATCATTGAGAGAATCGGTCTAAGTAACGCTCTGATCTTGCGTGTTTTCGGTGACTCACAAGGTTGAAACGCTTCTTCTCCATCGTCTGATCCATAGGGACACCTAAAATTGTTTACAACTGATTAGCAGCGCTACTTCACAGCTGTGTACAGCAACTGCGGGCAAACAGACAGTTCAGCTTAGAAAGGACCTTTGATTTATTGTTTTTCTCAGGAGACTGTGAAATCACATAAATACTTCTTCGCAACCATTGCCTGCTATCTTTGTGTAATCAATAGCGATTCCTGCTCCAAGCAATCGGCATTTCATACTTCACAAGTTCTATTAAACACGGACATGGCTAGATAACTCCGGTATTAAACATGCATGAAACTATCAATCTTGTCGTCTAGTCCAATTCATATAGCTCTATTATAAAACGTAGGTCGTAACGAGCCATTTTCTCCCCTGGTTTATAACACATGCAGGGAAGCATGACAGCTGATGTTCTATAGTTTGCAATCAAAACGGGCGTTTGGATAAGTGTCATTAGGCACATTGAGAAGGGACTGATCGGTCTAACCGCTTTGAACACACACTAATGAATTAGTAACACCACCACTTGTATGGGCACATCACACCAAGATTTGTCCATTATTATTATTATTGTGGCATATGTTGTACCGTTACCTAATAATGCGCACTTTTCTTTCCAGCCCTAACCACACAGCTGCACCCATTGGAGCGTACCACTCGGTCTTCAGTAATAAAACGTCGAAGACAAAATCCATCTTCTGTTGTTGATTCCGAAGTTGTCACTTATTTCGAACTGCATAAGCGGACTTGGAAAATCAAACTGCTGTCTTCGATAGATACCAGATGACTACACTTATGGGGGTCTTGATTATTTACACTAATGAATGTAGCACTGTGAAACTCAACTCTCCGCATTTATGCGAGTACACATTATGTAATTACTGACATGTACTCTTCATGAGTGCAGGCTCTTGTTAAACCGAGTAGATAACTATTTATTGTTTACTTTATATTTTTCTCCATCTTGTATGCCAAGTGCACGTCATCCGTGAAAAGGAGAGTAACTTGGTCTCCCTAGGACAGGTAGCTCACAGGTTACGCATAACACGCAGTTAAGAATGGAAGGTCCGCACCCTTTGGGAAGAGCACCGAATTATAGAAAGTGCTTGCAGGAATTAGACGCAGGATAATCCTTTTTGTCTGCTTTGGTATTGGAAGAGAGCATTTTGTAACCTAGGAACATCCTTATATATTGACCTAATTGGTATTTGCTTTGGTCGTCAATGATAGTGTCTTGTACCAGCCTTTTGAAGAGCGCAATGATTTTAATGTAAGCGGTCCTCAGGAGGTAGTGTGGGAACTATCGCCTCTACGTAATAATAAATCGTTAAAACCGTTCTGTTTATGGTTGAAACACTTGCGCAACGTTGATTAGACCAACTACCTATCAGGAACAATGGTCATCTAACTATTCTTTTATTTTAAATGACTTAATTGCGTATTGCCTACTGTTCTAGGCATATTTTATACTGATGCATGCATTTGTTACTGAGTTTGAGGGTGATCGACATTTCCGAAGTCTTGCTTGTCATTGTCTTATGCAGCAAGGTCGCTTGTGTGGAGGATAGGATGCCTAGTTAGAACAACAATCCTGTGACTTGCACTCGGTCATCAATCGCTTGGTTTCTGGGGCATGATACGCAGTGATGATAACCATTAGACAGCTGCTCACAAGCCAGCTTATAACCTTAACTTATCAAGTATTAACCTGAGACACTTTATTGAAACGGTAGGATCACTACTGTGCAAACGTGCCAAAGGCACAGAACGCAGATCGTTCCTGATGCGAAGGATTTTTGGGTGCTGCTGCGAAATGTTTTTATGGTTGTGGGGCTCTCCATCTTAGTTGAGAATGAACTCACCGATTTCTGTTTGTGTCTACAATCAGGTTGGTACATTAGCGCAGTTCGTCTGCAGTCGCAAAATCCCAACTAATATTCACTGAAATCCCAGGGAAGGTCGGCGCAAACTGGTTATCGCTGAATCTGGTCCACAGTAGTGTAATCAGTTCATTTGGACAGTGGACTTTCCTTTTGTCAGTGGTTATATTGAACTGCAGTCTGACAGATGCACCATTGGACACAATCTGAACTGGAAAATAACGATGCAAATTAGACGTTAAGTGTTGCCATTTTGCAACCCGGCACACTCCACGATCGATTTCACACAAATCTGCAATCGTCAGATGGAGGCCAGAGGACTGCGACTCTATTCCGTGATTTAGGGACGCCAAACGAAACTTTCACTCCTAAGCGAACGAGTAGACGGGCAACGCATTTCACAACGATTAACGCCTCCTTGTTGTTTTGCACGAAGCACACGTTAACCATATGACTGAATTCTAGCAGACAACGAATGCTTGACGTAACAGCGAGAAGCTACTAACCGTTGTGACTAGCGTTCCTATGGGCTGAGTACCGTATTGGTAGATGCATCAACCACTAGCTTCTACGCAACAGATTCTGAGGTGTGTAAATAAATGTGGAATTCGCCTTGAGGTACCGTTTTTAAAAACGGTTGTGACTCACTTTGAAATAGCTCGCGGCCCAGGTGGAGACTGCATGCCAGAGTCCATTCACACAAATTATTCCTCAACTGAATTAACAATAGGAAGTACATGTTGTTGTAAAACTACAGCTGTGCATTCTAGATAAGTCACTTCAGAGAAGTACCGAAGCATTTATCTTCTGGCCACCCAACGTGCAGACGAAGTTGGGATCTTCGACGCTCTTGTTCAAAGTCCAAAATAAATGCTTAAAGGTGGATACAACTGGGTTAAGACACGCTCAGTTTTCAGAATAAAGGACAGATAAGAAATTGTGTTGCTTTTTTTGCATTCTGTGAGAGCACAAGAGCTGCCGAATGGTCGTGACTATATAAAACAAGTGTTGGTGGCATTCAAAAAAACAGAGTAGGCAAAATTAGCCGAACACATGATCATTGTCCTCAAACAAATTATTGTGCAGGTGTTACTTTAGTGCATTATGTATCACCAATCTCGGTGGAATAGCGGACTGAAGTCGAGGCGTTATTGGACAACAAAGTCTTGCAGGGTATTCAGTTCTTCAATCTATGGGGATGCATATGTCTTCACGTGCGCACATTTCTTTATATAAACTAGTAGAGTGACTGAAGACACTTTAAAGGTCATGGAGACTTTTGAACGACGGATTCCGATGTCTCTTGCTCGGGTTCGTTAGTCAAGGAGGCGTAGTTCACTCCGGGTAGGGTTAACTGCCTCTGTCGACAGAACCAATATATCCATGCAAAGATCGAGGCGACAATCAATGTTGCAGCTACCACACCAAGTATCACTTTGCTCCAAAAAGGACCACGGATCAGAGACGAACGAATTCGCACTGCCGTCTTTTCATCGATGTGAAATGTTTCATTCATGTACATCAGCGGTAGGATAACATTTCTAACTTGCGCCAACTCCGGGAACTTCGAGTCGTTCCTGACTACTGCATTGATTTGCAGCTGCTTCGAGACATGGAAAACGGCTCCAGTATTTGGTTCAATGCTGAAGCTGGTGTTCATTTCTTCGGTAGGGTTTAGTCCAATCACACCATCTCTATATGACGGATCCGCCTGAACGGAAAGGAAATAAGATGTACGATGTGAAACAGGTACCACAGATCCTGTGGATATCATGCTGACTAGCAAGAACGTGTTGAATGCATACCCGTGCGGTTAAATTCGCAGTCCTGGATGTCATCAGTTGAACCTCGGTGGTGGAGCTGAAAGTAGAAATTTCCACTCCGAGTATCACATTGGTACCATGTCGTTGCTTTGGATAACACGTTTCAAGACTCTGAATCACGCCCTGAAATAGTCATCTAATACAGAAACATTACGCATTTAAACGGAAACTGAGCAGTTTAACTACATTTGTGTTAGCTGTGATCTATACTATAAACTTGAGGTCATATTTCGGTAGAGTGTGACACAGTAAGATGTTGTGCAGAGGAACCGTAACTACCACAATTTCCGCCTTGTTGCTCCTCTTATAGTCTTACTGTTAATCCAATAGCTTCTAGGTATTTCAACTGTAATCCAGTCAAATAACGAAAATTAGCTTTGGAAACGAATCAACAGTTTACCGCCACCTCAAGGACACTAACCCCACCCACACATTGCCCGGTGTCGGTGTCTGGAATTATGTTAAGCACGCCCTTTTTCCAGATTGCGACTGTGAACGCCATTTCTGCCCTCAAATGAGGGCAACTTTTTCACTAATGAAACTGCTCAATAACACAAGCAAGATTGAGGCTTATACCATGCGGTTTCCAACTGGAGGACATGTTAGATTGTAAAAGATCGGAATACATCATCATCATCATCATACACGTTAGCTAGAGGTGGGGAACACCTCAGCTACTGTGCCGCAATACATAGCAAAAAAGGAGAAAAAAAAGCAACTGGTGCAAGCTGGCTGAGCTACCAGTAACGGATGGGCATCGTTCCGGTAAGCTACCTGCCGGCTGCTGTGCACCCAAAAAAAATTATTTTGCAAAATTATATAAGACTAAATAATGAGATCGTGGTTGGAGGGGGAGGCTAAGATGGATGGGGTGGGACAAAGAAACTCACAGCACGAATGCCACTGAGGTCGGCTCCTAGCCATATCAGCAAGTGTGTCCAACCAAACGTGTTCATCGTCTTTCGGACCCCAACCAGGGAGCCGAGATGTTCCAACCGAAGCCAGCTCAGAAGTGAGGGCCTTCATTCCTCTGGACCAAGTCATCGCTTGGCCACCCCTCCTCTTCTTCCATCCACACCCCCGGCGCGCGAACAACACACGTCGCGGAGGTCGGTGGGCTGGCATGCGTAACACGTGGCCGAGCCATCGGAGCCTGATGCGTGAAATAACGGTGCTGAGCGGTTCATTTCCTTTTCCTGTGCCATAAACAAGGCGTCGAACACGCTCGTTGCTCACACGGTGTTCCCACCTAATGTGAGCTAAATTACGAAGGCACCGGTGGTCGAACGTAACTAACCTCTTCAGGTCCGCTGCTTTAAGCGGCCAGATTTCACAACCGTACAGTAGGGTCGAACGTACCGCTGCATTGTACACTCTACCCTTCAGGGTAAGAGTGATGTCGCGCCGGCGCCATAAGTGGCGAAGGTTAGCAAAAGCGCCCCGAGCTTTTGCTATACGGTTCGTGATTTTACCTTCAATCCCACGGGCGCTGATACAACTTCCCAGGTAGTTGAATTTTTGAATGACTTCTAGCTGATCCCCACCAAGGGTCAGTGTAGGAGGCGGTCCAGACCAATCTTGGAGAAACGCTTTACACTTCGAGGGTACGAAGCAAAGCCCGAAGTGACGGACAGCTAGTGCTAATCTATCCAGTGCCGCTTGGCACGTTTGTGAGCTGTCACAGATCAGGGCAATATCATCAGCATACTCTAAATCAAGAAGTCGTTCTCTTGGGAGTAGCTCCACACCTTCTAAGTCGTGTCCTGTGAACGCGATTTCCATGACTTCGTCAACAGCGAAGTTGAAGAGGAAAGGTGACAGCGGGCATCCTTGTCTCACGCCGCTGGAGATATTAAAGGGCGACGACAACTTGACGTAAGCCCCCACTCTGCCCGAGCTACGCGCATATAATGCTCGGATAATATTCACATATTTCTCAGGTACACCTTTCCTGAGTAGACAGTCCCAAAGTGTATGTCTATCCACCGGATCGAATGCACCTTTGATATCGAGGAACACTACAACGGTGGGCCGCCAATATATGTGACGGTGTTCCAACAACTGACGCAAGGTGAAGATGTGGTCAATGCAGCTACGACCTCGACGAAATCCAGCTTGCTCTTCACGAATCTGGCTTTCACGAGTGCCAGTCAGTCTGTGAAGGATGACAGAGGCAAGCAATTTGGAGGCGATGGAGATCAGACTGATTCCTCTATGACTGCCGCATTCCGATCGTGAGCCTCCTTTGAAAACTGGGACTATGACGGAGCGACTCCAATCGGTTGGGACAGTTTCCTGCTCCCACAGTTTGGCTAGTAACTCGTGTAAATCACCCACAAGAACAGGTCCCCCGAATTTGAAGAGGGCTGGATGAAGGTCATCAGGTCCCGCAGCTTTATTTAACTTCAACAGTTTGATCTCATTTTCGACTTCTGAGCGAGTGGGTGGATCCAAAGGAACAGCCCACGGAGCAGGGCGATCACTGGTCGGCGAGAAATCTAACAATTCCGACCGATTAAATTGCCTTTTAAAGTGCTCAGCCCAACGTTCCAGGCGTTTTGAGAAGTTGTGGATGGGCTGTCCACTCTCGTCACGTACAGTTTCACTAACACCAGGTCTCCTGCTGCCCGTTTCCCGTATAAGACGGAATAACTCACGATGGTTACCAAGGGCAGCGGCCATTTCCATCTCTGTTGCACAACGAGACCACCAGGATTGGCGATCTCTCTTCAGGTTAGCACGGATTTTCGCCCGGGGCTGTTTGCGAGTTTCATTGTGTTCGCTTCCAGCCGGAATATGCCGGCGAGCATCTATGAGTTCCAGAGACTGTGAAGAGACCCAATGTTCATGTTGGCGATTAGACATACCACATGAGCATTTTCCTGCTGCTAGTAAGGCCTGTTGCATATGAGACCAGTGAACTTCAATTGCATCCAGTGAGTGTTTATCCAACTCGTATGATAGCGTAATTTGATAGGCGTTCGGAACAGCTGGTTTCACCAGTCTGCAGATGTCAATGCGCTCACAACATCGTCGCGGCCGTCCGCCAAAGCGCATCCGCAGGTCAGCACATACAAGTGCATGATCGGTGTCCACACCTGTGCTCCAAATCGAGCGACAGTTCTGGACGCAGCCTCTCCAGCGGTAACTGATAGCAATGTGATCAATTTGCGTCCATAGCTGGTTCGAGGCTGGTGGGCGCCAAGTCACCCTCCGACGGGTGCTGTGTCTGAAATTAGTGCTCGCAAGAAATAAGCGAGCATCCTCACACAAATGAAGTAACCGCTCACCGTTATCATTACGGGAGCCTATACCATGTTGGCCGCCCAGATGCAGCTCATCTGTGGATAATTTTCCAACTTGTGCGTTCAGATCCCCAGCCAGCACTACAGTGTCCGAACTCCTACTGTGGCTAAGGAGCTCGTTCAGTTGACGATAGAAGTCGTCTTTTACCTAGTCATCGCTACAGTTTGTCAGTGCATATGCAGCGATAACGAATAGACACCTGTTAGTCCCAGGCGACTTCGAAGCTTTGAACGAGCCAGCCAATCGGACCGCACACATCCGGCTACTGATTGGAATCCAATCAACCAGAGAAGCTTCAGCCCGGGGACTCAGGGCAATACCAACGTTGGCTTGGCCGGTGCTCGAAGCTGCATCGTCACCGAATAGGCGCAATGAGAAAGGGCTGCTAGTGTCACCTGAAGGGGATCGCAGAGTGAGTACAGAGCTCGAGTCTTGCAGGCGGGTCTCCGATCAGCAGCAGATATCGATCGATAGGGTCTCTAATGTTCGGGCAAGTGCTGCCTGTTGACCGATCTGAAGCAATGTGCGAACATTGTGGCATGCCAGTCTGAAGGATGATCGAAGGCTCCAAATGGAAGCCGATTAACTGAAATGGGCCGCTTGCTTAGACATGGGCCTGTTGACAGTGCAGGAATGACGCTCTGCGTTCACCTGAGTTGAAACTAAAAGACAAGCGACTATTGAAGCAAGGTGGGGGAGGGCCGAGAATTGGGGGTTGAAAACAGAGGGGATAAAAGTGAAGCTGGAACGGGACGATAATGGTGAAAACGCGCAAGAAGGGGAATAAGAAGATGGGAAGGCTTGAGCAGTGGCATCCAAACCCCTATCCACCTTGCTCGATGCAGCAGATAGGGCACCGTTGATTATCCTCTGCGGTGGCCAGAGCATCAGAAATTTGTTTGTGGAAAGATTCATTGTATTGCGTGGGCAGGATACTGTCAGGTTGCCCAGGCCTAGACAGGAGAACGATTAGGGTTCTCAACCAACGCCTTTGGTTCAAAAACCTGGCCGCAAGGCAGCGGGTTTGGCACTGGACTACAAGGAGTCCGTTTTAAGGAATAAGGAGCCACCCTCATTCCAACCCCCAACCTGGAGGACCATTAGGCTGAGTTTGTCTGGCCTCTAACCATTGACCAATCTGGTATGAGTGGCTCTGAAGGTGCAAAAGCACCACCCAGTATAGCTCAATGGATCACTGAGGCACACAAACCATCGCACCACGGTAAGGTCCAGTCTCATTGCGATGGACGATCGGAATACGGTGAAATCTGTAGCAAGTTTTGTATTCAATGTATCCTGACAGATAGGATTTCTCGTGCATCCATCTTGTCGATGCTCAAAGCACTTCGGGGATTTCGCTTAAGTCTTGCAACCTCGAATCTATTCCGTCACGATTGCCCCGTTGGGTGGTATATGGGGGTTGAACAGCGCTTAGAACGCCGTCTCGGGTCGTTTGTCTTACTGCTAATGCTGATTGGCTTGCCCCGTCACGCGTTCAGCACAGTCATTATCCCAATGAAACCACCCTTCATCACAGAACTTGAAACATGTTACCTAGATCCTATTTATTAATATGAAGTCACCAAATGGAGACAGAGTACTTCACTGCTGCCTGTCTGGATTCCGACCGTGTTTTCACCTCTCCCTACTTAGTGTCTACTCTTCTGACTTCTATTAAGCCAACCCGTTGCCTGGAGTTGCAATCCACGAAAAGACTACGTCGGTACGCGTTGCAGCATTAACTTGCACTTGTGATGGATAAGCCAAAATGTCCATTGTATTGTCCTCCAACGCGCTATGCCGAGGCAGTCAGGGTT